TCTGCCTGACCTGAGCAGATGGATTTGGGTTTTGGTGCTGGAAATGGGGTTAAGATTTCTCTCCTTATCACTCACTCCTGCTGAGCCATTCAGCTGTTGAGAATTTCGGGAAGGGAGCATTCATTTTGTATGGGTGCTCATTTCTGTCCTCTTCTTCAGACTACAGCAGTCTTCTCATTCCTACCCACTATTCCTAAGTGAGTAGGAGGCCATGAGGTAGGGGGATAACCTGATTTGCAGCAAGTAAAAGGGGCAGGGTGACTTAGATGGCAGTCGGAAATGGGTAGTTTTATATATTTAGCTGGAGGTGTGTGTATCGGGGAGTGTGTGGTTATACAGGCAAGAGTATAAGCAGGTAGAGTTGGGGAAGAAGGGAAAAATCAAAACAAAACAAAAAAGGATTTCAGGCTACATCCATTACTAGAAATGGCAAAATTATCAGTGGAAGAACAGGATGCAGAAACTAGAGATCACCTAGCGTCCCTATCTAGCCCTCGATAGGATCCTGAATCTTCATTACCAGAACAAGTTAAAGAGAGAATATTTTCCCAGATACCATTTGGGATAAATATGGGGGCAGAGGGACCTTTTAATGCAATAGATCAACTCAAGGTCACTGACTTAGTTTAGGATAGCCAACTTTCTCACTAGCTCAAAAGGGAGAATTCAGGTTTGGTGGGCCAGACAGGCAAGGAAAAGGTGGATGAAAAGTCTGCAAAGTTCTGGATTTAGAACATTTTGCAAGGAGAGTTGCACATATCTCCAGCAGCAGAGCAGGGAAAATGTCATGGGGAGAAGGGCCAGGGGAAGTCAGGGACAGCCTTCAGGGAAGGGAGGACAGCAATGCTTCCACCTCCTTCTCTGTCTTGCAGGAAGAACTGGGGAAAGGAGTTAGACAGTAAGGATGGAGGGCCCCAGAGTAGAGTCCATGGGGTGAGCTTAGGTCAAGCCTTTCACCCGAATGTGCCTCAGTTCTCTCCCAGCTGTTAAACAGGGCTCTCGGTTCTTCCCAGGCAGTTAATGAGTGTTTACAAAACACTTGGAGATCCTTAGATCTCAGCTGGGCCACCACTACAGTTATAAAGCTCAATAAGGGCTGAGTGTTATTTGGGGAGGGAAGGAGCAAGGGAAGAGGGAAATAGACTACTCTATTACAAACTAAGGATAAAACCAAGCTCAGAGAGAAGCACAAGCCTAGCTGCCACAGGATATCCTTGTGCCCTGGATGGAGGTCACCCCCACCCCCAACCACCACCAAAGGCTGGCCTCCAGCTAGCTGTAGGCAGAACCCAGACTAGCAGCTGGTCTTCATTAACTCCAGCTTTTTCACCCCCCCACTGTGAACCCACAGCTTCTACAGGCCTAGGCTAGAGGGGGCTGCCCTTGCCTGACCTTGCAGCTGACACTGGGATGGGGGGCATGGCACCAAAGGCCAAGTTACCAGCTGAAAAGAAAGTCAAAGCAAGACTCTTTTTTCCCATTGGGAGAAAGAAGAGAGGAAAGAAAGGAGTGTGGGGGTGAGAGGGTGGAGGTGGGGGAATTTAGGGCAAACAGCAGGCAGTGAAGTCAGTTGGATTGAGGCCCAGAAACCCCCACACCCTGGGGCCAAGTCTTACTCTAGCTTTGCTCTCAGCTCAAGTCTTGGCCAGGCCCCAAACTAGGGAAGGCCTGGTTGCCCCTTTCTGCCTCCCTACCCCCACTCTTATTAAATACACATTTTATCTCTCAGCATCTTCATTATCGTAACTGAAGGAGACAAGCAGTGGATGGCGGCAGCAGAGAGTGTCAGGAGAGGGGGGGCAGGCGCGGGGAGCAGGCGCACCCTTGTTATAAAGTGCTGATCTAGCTCTTTCAGGCAGTGTGGGAAACAGAGGAGGGATCAAAGGGAGTGAGGCTGATTCAGAACTCAATTAGAGCTTTTTAAAAAATGAAGCTGGCTCTCTCCTTTCGCCAGTCTTCAGCCTTTACCCAGGCCCCTTGCACCCAATTAGCTTCTACTGCCAGTGCCTTGTGCTGGGGTTGAAAATCAAGGGGAGGCCAGAAGGGCACACCTTTCCCCCTACCAAATGCATCTAAGAGCTAGACCTGCACTGTTTGTAGCTTAAGAAATGTGTTTTATAGGGCACCTTATCTCTTCAGGAGGAACCCTGGATCACAACTTTTCCCAAAAGTTAAAAAGTGGGACATCAAAGATGGGTTTCTCACTAAACCATTGCCAATTAGAGGCACAGCTTCTGGCCAATCTAGGGATACTGCATAACATCCACACAGGCATCCCTCTAACCAGCCTGTAGATAAGACTCTCCCCCATAACAAAAGCCTCCCAGGAACATGGAAGTTGCCTCAAGCAAAATACCACTACATCAGAGGGAGTGATTGGAAGGCATCTGTGAGGCTAATAAATGCTCACAACTGTGCCAAGACACATTTTGTAAGATGGAGCACCCTTCTTTTGCAGGGGCCTGCTCCACCTCAGTGCAAAAGCACCAACAATATTTACTTTCAGCTTAGAATTGTCCTCAAGATGGAGGGAAAGACAGCATCTTAGGTGGTTCATTGATCCATTCATTCATTCAACAATTACTGAATAGCCACCAGGTACTAGGTACTATACTACAAATTAGGGACAGATACAAATGTAAATAAAATGTCAATCTTGGCTCTCTCTTTTGTTCTCCCTTAGTAGTTCAAGCTAACACCTCTCGACAGATATTTAAAAAAAATGTAACTTAAGTCATATCTTATTCCCACTTCCCAGTTCTTATTGGTGTATCTTAAAAAGGCACTTAATAAAGGTAGGGAGCCATTGGGAGAGAGAATAGGGCTCTGCCAACTTTTTTGATCTCTGGGTAGCTTGGACCTCACACGTTCTTGCAGTTAGCTAGCCACAAGCAAGTTTTCATTGAGCCAGAAATGTCAGTGGCAGCTGAGGGGTTGAAACGCACACCAGCTTTACTGTGTCTATGTTCTTTCCATGGTAATACCCAACACCCTGTGGAAGCTTAATCTCCTTGGAGGGAGGGAATAAACTAGGGTATAGACACACACCCCACCACCTTCAAAAGGAAGAATGTAGGTCAGCATCTTTGCCACTACTCTATGTGAAGCAGCCTATGATCTTGGCAAAAACTAGTAACCACACAAGTCCATCCCATCCCACTGAAACTCCCACCACCTTCCCATAGCTCTCAGCTTCAGTGAGTAAGTCAGCAAGGAAAGGGCTTTCTTTCTCCTTTCTTCCCCAGCTGTCTAAATTACACTTAAGACTTTACTGACAAACATATATCAGCTTTTGCTCCCACAAGGGCAGCGGAAGCCAAGCAGGGACTTTAAGTCTGCTTCACGCATCACTGACAGAACCAACCCTGTTCCAATTGCTAAAGTCTTAAGAGCAGCAATGACCTAGAAATTGACAGTGGGGGGAGAACTGAAGGAAAGGAAACTAACACACCAGTACACAGAAAAGCCTATTTGCAAATACTAGGGGAAAGGGAGAGAAAGGAGGTAGAGGGGAAAGAAATTTGGCCCCTTTGAATCTACAAATGTGATCTTGGCTGGAAGCCAGGGAGGATACATAGCAGCCCCACTGCGAGTCAAGCCATGTTCCTGACTCAAGCCCTACAGTTAAGAGGAAGGCGCCAAGCCTCAAACACAACGAGGTGGGGAGGCTGCTCCTTTTTGGGCAGGATCCTACTGTGGACACAGAACAGACAGCAGCTGCCCACAGTGTGGAAACAAACTGTAAAGCAGTCACGTCTCTTAAGGCTGCAGCATCCAATAAAATGTAATTTAAATCAAGCCTCGCATCTGTTCTCAATCCCATTCAGTCTCTGCTTTCCATCAGCCTTCGGACAATCTTTGCAATTATGCTTGTTAACCCTTATAGTCCCAGACACTTTCCAATCTTCTAAGTATAGAACTGTGTCCCCCACTTGCAAATTACCCTCAGAGGGAATGAATGCTCTAATAAACGAGTATGAGAGAATGACATTCAGACTCGTGTCTACAGACTGCTACACACACCAGTGGGTAGTGTTCATTTCAGAGGGCTCTCTCTGCTTTCCTTTCTATCCCATACCACCTGCTGTAGCTCAGATCATATTGCCAGGATACAGTGGGCAGGATGAATGAAACAGTGGCCAACAGATCATTTGTACACATATCAAGTTCTCAAACTCAAGGCCATGTTAGAAAGGCAGGAGGCAGCAGAAGAGCTCAGGGAGAAGCTCATTCGGTCACTGGCTCTTAGACCATTCACATCACACATGGTTTGCATTTTAAGCCTTTGCTTGAATTATAAAAGTATAGCAATTTCCCAAACAAATCAAACTTAAGAACTCTCCCCCACCACCTTCCCTCAAAATTACCCCAGCTCCAACCCTGCATTATCAAAGCAGTCAATGTTATAATAGTGCCCTCTGGTGTCTCTGTCACAAATTGCTATCAAATGCCACTGGAAACCAAACCCAGAAAAGAGGAGTCTTGAGTAACCATATGGACTAATTTAATAAGACTGGAAAAATACGTTTAGATGAAAATCCAACCCTAAACTATGGCATCTTGAAACAAGTGGCTGCATCTAAGGGCAGCTAAGACTGTGGGGCAGTCTGGGAATTTTGCCTTCTGAAAGCTTGCACTCTCTTGAAATGTGATTGCTTAAAAAGACAAAGAATGCAACTTGAAAATAAATATATTCACAATCTGTAGAGTTACATTCTCCTTACTACCCCTACAACCTTGGGAGTGCCCAAGAAACTCAATGAGTCTTTAAAATGTCACAGTGCGGTAAGATCTGCAACATGAACACATTATACTCCAATAAAAAAAAAATTCTTTGACCAAACTGTCCTCCAAATCTCCATGTGGACTTGCTTATTTTTCTGGATCATTCTTTTTCATTCTTCTTACCTTAATCTAAAAGTTCTTACTAAGAGGTAAATATATACACATCCCACAACACAAATCTGTATACCTGCAAGCACACTGGTTAGAGACATACAAGTGAAGTCGTAAATGCAGTTAAAAAGGGTCTACTTGTGCACTTTGATGGGTACAAATAATAAGACCCAAAGATATTATTCTGTGCTAATATTAATAAATCTATAGATTAAAATTCATTGGTTTCAAGTAAAAAAGGTCATATTTGTTTTCAGACCTGAATAGATAAAGTACTAAAATGAAGACTCTGTAGCTCTCTAAATGCCAGCTGAATACTTTCAGGTAGGGTATAAGAGAAGCATTTAAGGCAATCCAGTAGCTAAGATATTTCCAATTAAAGCTTTGTCTTTCAGAGCATGCTCTATTTCCTTCTCTTCAATCTTCAAAAACACCTGGAAAGAAGAGAAAACGATTTTTCATGGTGGAGAACTCACAGAAGCAAAGTTATCACTACACAAACTTTTGCCATATTAAACTTTTCTCACAAGAGGCAAGCAAGTGAAACACTGCTTTTTTCAATGACCTAGAAAAAATATTCATATCATGCTCCTAATCCTCAAACACACCTTAAATCTTACCTAACAAAAAACTAATTGTTTAACTAATTGTGGTCATTTTTCAATCTTTACTTTAGCAAAGGGTAAGCTCTCCAAAATAGGACAATTAAAAGCATTATCACAAAGAAGCAGTTAGTCTTACCTTTGTTAATCGGGTTTCCTTGTTTTTCTTTAATCCTAAAATGCCCCTAGCCTCCAAGAGCCCTGAAAGCGACAAACACTCTGACTGGTCCACAGCTGCCACCTGCTGTTTGCGACAGACTTTACTATAGGCTTCGTATAACTGGGAGGAAAAAAAGAACAAATGTTGCTTAAATGTCACATCTCTTGTAACCTTATAATTTTTTTTTTGAGACAGAGTGTCTTGCTTTGTTGCCAGGGCTAGAGTGAGTGCCATGGCGTCAGCCTAGCTCACAGCAACCTCAAACTCCTGGGCTCAAGCAATCCTTCTGCCTCAGCCTCCCAAGTAGCTGGGACTACAGGCATGCGCCACTATGCCTGGCTAATTTTTATATATATATACATTTTTAGTTGTCCAACTAATTTCTTTCTATTTTTTTTAGTAGAGACAGGGTCTCACTCTTGCTCAGGCTGGTCTCCAACTCCTGAACTCAAACAATCTGCCTGCCTCAGCCTCCCAGAGTGCTAGGATTACAGGCGTGAGCCATCGCGCCCGGCCAACCTTATAATTTTTACAAAAGGGTTTGCAAAAAAGTTATCTGAATACCCTATTTCTTTCTCTTTTCAATAAAATCCTTGAATAGGCAATCTGTAGATATTCCCAAAAACCTATACTGTAATATAGCAAAGGGGCTTTGTATATTTCACAGAGAGATGCAAAAACAAAGGGGAGGATGAGGAGAAGATTAATGGTAAACTCTCAACCACAACCCAAGGGAAATAAAGTCAGCTGCCTTTTATATAGTACCAGTATTTATTCTTACTGTTAAAATCCATTTATAATTCATATCAGCTGGAGCATGATAGGCCTTTTGGAAAATATCTGCTCTGCAAAGCAGATTCTCATCTCTACCTCAGTTCCATCTGCTGAGATTCCCAACTTACCTTCCCCAGAGTGACCTCTTTGATTTTCAACTGCCTGATCAAGAGCAGCAAAGAGCAGACCAAGATCTTCTGCTGAAGAGGGAAGGAATCTTGTGCTCCTTCTTGGCTCAAGGTCATCCTGTTACTATCAACTTCTGAAATGACTTGGGATATGTGAACAAGACCAACCTGCTTGGGAATCAGGGACTCAGAGGGTGATTTACCTATAAAGTAAACAAGCCAAGCTTAATTAGAATTTTAAAATATTGTGTGTATGTGTATGTATGTTTGTGTATGTGTATGAATGTGAGATAGATGACACTAACTTTTAGCTACAGAAAATTCAAGGTGGCAAAGCAGAGATTCCAATTCTCTAACCAGCCAAGGGATGAGAGAAAATGCTATCCTCAGAAAGATGCCAAAATAATGTGAAATGACTTAGAAGGTAGGGTTATCCTTTCTCTGGACAGAATAGTGAGCTATTTTGTCTCGTGGAATGTAATTTAATGTCAGAGAGACAAAATCCGCCTCATGAAAGAGTAAGAAACAGAGAACCACTGTATTGTGCCTTGAAAGTTCCTAATATTTCAGAGGTAAATAAGAACAGAAACTTGAAGCAAAGATGATGACTGCACCTGGCAATTAAGGAAAAAAAAATAGTTGGAAAACCTACCTAATATTTTTAATCAAATGAGTGGCTAAATGTGGACAGTAAAGTCAATCCCACATCAGTCCTCCCCAAATGACCTTTGAGGTTTGGTTCACTTGCCCAAGCTGATCTGCGGTAGAGCAACACTTAAGAAAAAGTCACTGGATAGCCTAGCAGATAACAGCATCTCAAAAGCCAGAGGTTGGGAAACTGCCAAGAAGCTGCATGGGACTATGGCCTCATTGTTTGGAGACGCATGAATTGCAAGACAAATGAGAGATTTGCTCTGTAACCACCTTTGCCTGAAGTTACTTCCTGAGACCACTTGCAGTTGCACCACAACAATTTTCTTCTATTTCATTACCACAAAGGGATGCTGCAGAGGACTAATGGAGAAACCAGAGCTTGCAGATCAAGTAAGAGAATCTTAAGGTTGAAAAGAATTTAGAGGTCTATTCTTACTCCTTACCCAATGGGCTGAGTCCCAACATGAGGTCATCTATCCAGCTTTTGTTTGAGTATCTTCAATACTGAGGAACTCACTATGTTTCAAGAAAGCCCAGTTAGTTCTACCCATTAGAAAGTTTCTTCTTATGTTTAGTTGAAGTCAGTTCCCCTACAGTTTTCTGGAGCCATTAAAAGCCAATCCTATACATGCCCGAAGTCAAAAAATAGGAATTAGGTTAGTCTAATAATTTATGCCAGGAACTTACAACCTCTTTTAGCTATGTGTGTGCCAGTGGTGCTCACAGAGGCCACTCACAAGCCTAAATGGTTTTTTTTTTTGAGACAGAGTCTCACTGTGTTACCCGGGCTAGAGTGCCGTGGCATCAGCCTAGCTCACAGCAACCTCAAACTCCTGAGCTCAAGCGATCTTTCTGCCTCAGCCTCCCGAGTAGCTGGGACTACAGGCATGTGCCACCATGCCCAGCTAATTTTTTCTATGTATTTTTAGTTGTCCAGTTAATTTCTTTCTATTTTTAGTAGAGATGGGGTCTTGCTCTTGCTCAGGCTGGTTTTGAACTCCTGAGCTCAAACAATCTGCCCGCCTCGGCCTCCCAGAGTGCTAGGATTACAGGCGTGAGCCACCGCACCCGGCCACAAGCCTAACTAAATGTTATTGGTAGGGGAAAAGGAGAGGGAAAAAGGGAATAATCTGAAAAACTGAAGAGGGGGAAGAAATCAATATTTAAGTCTACGCATTGGCATATATATTGCTTACTATCAGCCTAAGCACTAATTTTGGCTACTTCTGAAATATTTTTAACTAGTTTCTTTTAAAAAGTTGATGAAAAAAAGAAAGCATTTCATGTAGAACTATAGCACTAGAAACAATTTTAATAACTCCTAACCAGTACAAGAGTAAAGGAAACAACAATCAAATCAGACTATCCTGTTTCTAAAGATTAACACTGGATATTAAACACTAACAAGATATGTAGTCCACGGCCATTTTTGTCATTTGTAACAGCCTACAGTTTACTGTAGCAAGGTGATCTTTGTACCTCTACTCTCACAGACTTGTTTAAAAGCTTTGATATCCCAAATTGGACTCACCGTTCTTTCACCTGACTCTCCCTTATTTGTCAGGCTTTGCTTTCACCTATATCAAGACTTAAAGTACACTCAACATAAGCACCCAGAGAGAAGCTGATCTAAATTTATTGTCTACAGCTTTCATTCCTAGAGCTCAGCCATTTATATAACACCCTGGGAACTCATTTCCAGTAATGCATGGAGTTTGGTACTGGAAGGCAAAAATTGAAATAAAGTAGATGAAATTGTCTAAAAACACAGACACACATAAAAATCAGTGAGTGTGGATTTAACTAGGTTCATTTGATCTTTCTACCTCTTTCCTCAGAAAAGTTAAGCTTCCAATTAAAAAGGAAGACAGGAAGGAGATAAACTACTTACATTCAGACAGTGGTTTGAGGATAGTCTGGCTTTTGACATCCGACTCTACAATTTCAATAGCTCTCCTATAAAAAAAAATTTCTAAAGTTAATTTAGTCTGAGCCAAACCAAACACCACGCCAAACCACCAAGCTCAAAAACAGGCACACTAATAAAAAACAACATGTTTTATAATTTTAAAGCCCCAAACAAAACTGGGTTATGTCTCAGCTAAAGGGGACTTAATTATCTTGAAATAATTCATGGACCAGGGATTTGAGAAACTTCAACACTAAATGGTATCCTCTTATAAATGCCAAGTAGGTCGTCATATATTGAGCCAATGATAACATTTGAGATGAAGAGAAAATGTCACGGGTAGGAGAGAGGATATGTAGTGTGGGTGACTGACTAAAGACAGCCAGCACCACCCATACACACCAAACCTAAAAGGGGTGTCCTTAGTTATATATACATAGGATATGTGTAGGCTAAACCATGCTGGCCTACATAACTATTGTTCATAGCTGCAGTCTTTACCCAAGTAGTTTGCTGACTAGGGGAAACTTTCAAATTCAGGATCATGCAATCTAGCAATAGGAAGAGCTTACTCTCCCACTGCTCTCTCCAAAGTACTTTGCCCACAGGAAGCCATAAGCTAGACCTGGATCTTCTGTGTGGCAATAGGGGGAGGTTGGACCAGCAGGCCAGCACAGCAAGTATCATTTTAATGGACCCAGTGTCCCTACTGGGAAGGAAGAAATTTCATCAGTCAGCACAGAGGCTTTCCCCAGCAGGAGGGGCAGGGGGATGGGAAGGAAGAAAGAGGTCTGGAGTACAACTGTGGGGGATCACCAACTGGAGGGAAGAAGGGGTGCTCACAAAAGGAAAGGAAGAGAAAAAAGTCTAAAGGCAAAGATGGTTCAGGTCCATAAATAAACCTGCTTGAATCCAGCTAATGGAAAAGTAAACTGGAGTCTTTTTTAATACAAATGTAATTAACCAATCTATAATCACCACAGGGAGTGCCAGCAACATCTCATTTGTTTCTCCCTCTGTAGGTAATGGACTGATAATGTTTTAGACATTAACACGGTGGAAATCCACAGCTTCCCACTGAGAAACAAGTCCTCCTTTCTGAGCATAAAAAAGTAGCAGAACGGAGCCTCTTAAGCCAAGTTCACTTGAGTTACATGAGACAATTAACAGCATTTCTTTTTTAAATAAAAGCAGCCAACAATGCCATAACTCACCTGCAAACATCTAGTGCTTTGCGAACATCTCCTGAAACAGCAGAGACTTTGCGGGCGCAGAACTGAATTGCAGCACTATCCAGAACCTGATCTCCAGATACCTTAGGATAAGACATAGAAGATGACAGTTTGAATTAGAAGATTCTTCCTCTGTAATTTAGGTCCTACGGATAAATATTTTCACATTTAAGTCTAAACTTGATTGGAGACTCTTTAAGGTCTAAGAGATGCTTTTTTTTGCTCATAAATAAATGGAGATGTTTGAATTTTCACACATTTAATCGTTTTGTAGGAATGTGGTAGAGGTTCACGAATGGAAAAAAGCAATGGGTATTTAAATGAGAGCAAAAAAAAAATCTATTTAGTCACTTTCAAAAGAGAAAGTTTTTTCATAGGTCCTATTTTTTTTTTTTTTTTTGAGATAGAGTCTCACTCTGTTGCCCAGGCTAGAGTGCCATGGCTTCAGCCTAGCTCACAGCAACCTCGAACTCCTGGGCGCAAGCGATCCTCCTGCCTCAGCCTCCTGGGTAGCTGGGACTACAGGCATATGCCACCATGCCCGGCTAATTTTTTCTATATATGTATTTTTAGTTGTCCAGATAATTTCTTTCTATTTTTAGTAGAGACAGGGTCTCGCTCTTGCTCAGGCTGGTCTCAAACTCCTGACCTCAAACAATCCACCCACCTCGGCCTCCCAGAGTGCTAGGATTACAGGCGTGAGCCACTGCACCCGGCCTATAGGTCCTGTTTTTTAAAGGCCATTAAGGAAGCATTTGAGTGATTCTTCTAACTCCTACTTTTATTTCAACACTGAAGCATCCAATAAATGAATGGAGCCATGTGTGTAAATTCACATAAAAACGTTCTCACTATGGTACATAGGAACTCCTTGCTCCATTAGTAAAGCAATCAAAGCAAAATATCTTAGAACTATTGTTAGGTTTCCCCAACACAGGTGATCCAAGGAACACATGGGCACAATGGCTGGCACTCACCTGATTAAGTCGGTCTTGCAAGATAGTAGCTATCTGAACTCTGGTATAAGGTGGAAAGTTCAACAGGTGTGGCTTACATTTTCCTCTAGCTTGAAGCCTTGGCAGAATTCTGTCTGTGAGATCCAGGGTATTAGCAATACCTGAGGGGGAAATAAATATTAATCACAACTGGTCAAACCACCCCAAAAGGAAATCTAAACCCTCTGAAAGCTAGATAAAATTTCCAGTTATAATCCATCATTTCTTTTTTTTTTTTATTTCTGCATATTATGGGGGTACAAATGTTTAGGTTACATTGCCCTTGCCCCCCTATAATCCAGCATTTCAACTGTTGCTTCCCACTTGCCCCCTACCCTACCCCAATAGATAAGATATTAGGTAAGATGTACATAGTCATTATAGAATGTTCCTTTCAAGTTCGGCTTAGAATTGTTCCCTGATATGCAGGACCAGATATTCCAAAAATCTACTACCTGTGAAATGCAAGATTATGTCATTCTATTCAGACTTAACAAAATTGATTTGATTAAATTAAAATTACTGCTTTATAGTGATTTTCTTATTTGGACAAGAAAGCAGAAAGCTGGTTTAAGATAAAATGATAGGTGATAAATAAGCTGAAAGATTAAAAAAAATAAAAAAAGAACCCTTTAGAACCATAATGTAACAACAGTGATTGAGTACTAACCAATCAGCACCAATCGGGAATTGTTTAGCCATGGCCATTCAAACAGTGTGTACAATACATCCTGCCCTTTGCTGTCCAGTTGATCCATCTCATCCAACACCAACACACTGCATACAAAGAGAAATAATTAGTATCCACATTCACCTTCTTAACCCTCCAATCTGTTTGATCTGGGCTGAATTGAAGTCACATTCCTAAAGCTGAGACTAATTTGATGACCATAATTTATCCTATCTCTCGTCATTTGTTACAAGGATACCCCCATCATGAACAAGTAACATCCAGATGTTTTCAAGCAATTAATTTAAAAACCCTTTTTCCAATTTAAAATTAGAAGGTGTATTTTTCGTTTCTTCTTTCCCTTTAAGTGTACGTAACTATCCCTCATAGAGCAAATATTGGGAATGTTCTTTTTGTGGGCAACAGATCTTGCAGATTTTCACAGAGCAACATGCAGCAGAGCAATACTTACATCATGGGGCCTTTCTCTGCAGTCATATGTTTTTCCAATTTTCTCATCATGTCCTTCCCAGCTGGCCTGGATACTTCTTCCTGACAAATCTCCTGAGCAATAGCTGGGAATACAGCCTGGGCACTCCTCAGGGACATGCAATTCAGCATGATAGTTTTAAAGCCTTTCAGTTCCTTCTAGAAAAAAATGCAAACATGGGAGTTATTTTGGCCTCTGATAAAGATTTGATGGAAGCTGAAATCTCTTTGAGGAGCTAACAGTGAATAAGAGAGGAGGCAGCTCTACTTTCATTTGGAAAGATTTAGACAATGAAACTATAAATGTCTTATTTTGAGAAAACCTTCAATCTCCTAAACTACTTTTCCTTAATCCTTAAAAACCAAGTGTCATTTTAGCAAGAGTATCATAATTCAGACTCTCAATGTACCTTGAGGTCTTGCAGAATTCGGCTTAAGCAGGCAGTTTTTCCAGTTCCAGGAGCACCAGAAAGGTAAAGACTTCCAGCTTTTTTCCCACAGATATGTTCTCTCAGGAAATTCCTGATGACATCCATCTCCTTTTCCCTGGCAGGCAGCCGATCTGGGACAGCTGTATTCAGGACCAGCTTTGCTTGCTGGTAGCAAGTACCTGTGCCAGACATAAAAGGTCAATTCGACACAACAGAAGGTGACTGAGAAGACCCACTGGGTTTCATTCGTAGTTATCAGCCTTGTTTACAATGGCTACACTAACGGCTGCCACGCAAAAACAAACCTTCTTGCTTGAACAGTCTCATACATGCAGATTCTTTCTCCAACGGACATCTCTGCTTAGAACTTGTTGTGCTCTCTTGACTTTTTCGAACTGAGGAAAGTATTTTGTTTTGGTGAACTTTGGCTTGTTCTCTTTTGCTAGGAGATTTAACTGTCAGCTGATTGTCAAATACCAATCTGCGTCCCTTTCCCTTAGACGTGTGTGAGCGAGGGGGACCATTCTCTTTCTTGCCTTGCTTTGGTGGAGAACAGGGAGGTAAATAAGGAGTGTTGCATAGGTTTTCATCACCTGAAACATATTAAAATCAAATCGTGGTCACTCTTAGCAGTGGATAGTAAAAGGACTTGCAAAGACCTCTGCCTCCCCTATAAAGAGGTGAATTTTGACCTCAGTCAGAACCACCAAAATAAAATGCTCTCTCAACTAGAAGCAAATATTGGCCACCAGATGGCACCACTGATTGCACTACAGTATTCCTCCGTTTTGCCTTCAGTGGTTTCAGTTGCCCCATGTCTGAAAATATTAAATGTAAAATTTCAGAAATAAACAATTCATTAAATTTTAAATTGTGAGCTGTTGAGTAGCATGATTAAATCTTGCACCATCCTTCCTGGGACATGAATCATCCCTCTGTCCAGCATATGCACACTGTATACATTACAGTGATTTGGTAGCTGACTTGGTTAACACATCAAAAAACAGTGTGTGTGTGTTGGGGGGGGCGGGGTTCGGTACTATCTAAGATTTCAGACATCCGCTGAGGGTCCTGGAATGTATCCCCCATGGATAAGAAGGTACTACTGTATCTGGTAGAAACCAAATGGATTTTAGTGGGATGAAATTCTAAGATTGTTCTAAAACAAGGTATCTCAGTCTTGACACAATTGACATCTTGAACCAAATTGTCAGAAGGCTGTCCTGTGCACTGTAGGATGTTTAGCAGGATCCTGGCCTTTACCCAGTATGCCACCCCCTCAGCTGTGACAACCAAAAATGTCTCCAGATACGGCCAAATCACCTTGCACTAGAAACAAATGCTCTAAAACAGGAAAAGATTACCAACTATTGTTCTAAAACAAGGAAAGGACTGAAAATATCAAGAATGTCACCTATTTTTTTCTTTCAATTTCACAAATATTGAGGCAAGTTTCATAATACCATGTAACTGCAAGGTCATTTAAAACACTGACAGAACTAAGTTCAGTATTAAGGAATTGAAGATCAGACCTATTAAGTAGTTCAGAAAGTAATCTTAATAAGTGGCTTAACCCTGGAGTTCAGTAAGCACTTATCAACCATTCTGAAAATAACTAAAACGAATAGAATAGTCTCAAATCAACTTAGAAATCTCCTTCAAAGGACAGGTATCTTATCGAGAAAAGAAAGGTTGACAGCTACTAGTGAAAAAGTTGTATGTAATGCATAACTTACCCAGACGTTTTCTAGGGCTGAGAGGCAGAATTTTTACACAAGGAGAACAGGGTATAGTCTGGACATTTGTCGGTCCTAGTTTGGTGTCCAATGTCTGAGGCAGTTTCTTTTTTGGAAAATTGATTGTAGCCTGTGCCTGGGATCGGGTTTGAGGCATGATGGCAACACAGCTGGATACAAAAAGAACAGGACAGCCAGTCAATATGTAAAAGTGAAGGAAAAACAACATGGAATTTATTTATACTGATGATCAACACTCATTTCATGAGTAAATTATAACAGTATTTTAGCATTCAGTTCTGCTTCACACCCAAATCTATGCAATAATAGCTAACATTTGTTTTCTACCTACCATGTGTAAGATGCTGTAAGAAGCACTTTATATATTAACTCATTTAAGTTGCACAACTACCTGAGAGGTAGGTACTATTATGATCTTTGTTTCACAGATGAGATGCAGAGAGGGGCAAAGTCACAGAAAAGCAGGGATATAACCCCAGGCATTCTAGTGCCAGAACCCAAGTTCTTAACCACTTGAACGATGCAGTGAGAAATTATCTGAATTGACTTTTATGGTACTAATTCCCTCACTCCAGCCTTGCGGGGTACCTTTATCACCAGCTTCGCCCAGCAACCGCCACGTTTACAGTCGCACCCAAGCCCTCACAGTGAAGCCCACTCTTCCCTCAGTTCGTCCCTCTGCCCCTGCACTCAGTCTCCACTCTACACAGCTTTCAACCCCACCCCAGGGCATTTCTTCCTACAACTTTCAGCTCCTTCGCACCACACACAACTGTTGCAACTACTCTGCGGGCGCACAGGCCCCTTCCCTGACCCCGACCTCAGACCTCCAGCGATGTCAGCTCTCTTCCCCTGCCTTCTCCTCAGGCCTAGCGGAATCCGCAGCGCTCGCTCCAGCCCTCGCCCAACTCCATTGCCTCCCAGACCCCAGGCCTCCCTGAGCAATCCTCTCCTTTCCATCTAACAGAGCTGCCTCACCTCAGTGCAGGCTCCTCACGTCTCACACACGACCTCAGGGACTCTCCACAAGATCCTGAGCAAACTACACACCAACCGCAGCAAAGCCCTGCCGCGCTCGCGCCAAATCTGCTCAGCTACAGCGTTCCCACCTCCCGCCAAAGCCCGGCCTCGCTTCTGACTGGCTGTTGCCACAGGGCCGTGCGTCTTGGCCACCGCCCCTTCTTTCGCGTCCAATCCTGCTGGAAGGCCCACAGCCAATGAGAGCGCCCCAGGTCTCCGAGCCAAAGTGAAGTCACGCCCATTGAGCTGGGAGGGCATCTACATCCGGGGCCTCCGCGGAAAGACACGCGCGATTTAGACAGGGCGACTCTGGGTAAGGCGGGACGACGCCGCCGTAAAGCTCGGCGGGAGGTGTAGTCTTTACCTCACGCGACTCTAGTTCCGCGCTCTTCTTTCGACTGGCGCTGTCTCATGATGTGCCTGCCCCTTCTCACTGCCAAACGTACCATTTTTGTTATCCTGATGGGCTAGATTTTCAGAGAGCTACTACATAATGCCTACCGTTTTTTGGGCGCTTCTGTGCGCCAGGTATGATGTTATGCACTTCACTTACTTCTCTAATGCTCAACCCTCCAAGGCACAAAGCAAATATGTGCACAGGGTTAGAGGTCACAGCATCTTGGCAGCAGTGAAGAGCCTAGGACCCAGGTCTCCTGACACTTCAACCAGTGGTTTTTTTTTTTTTGGTAAAGTTCTACACACCTATGTAAAGAAAACAAACTACACTGTATCTCTTAATTTGTGCTTGAAAGGTGAGAAATAGGACTAAACCCTTTGCTTTTATGTTGTTCAAGATAAGATTATTATATTCTGTGTACCTTCTTGCCATTAATCCACACATTGCAAGGAAGGAAGAGAATTATGGCCCCTTAATTTTAAAATCTTTTATGGCTAAACAACAGGGTTTCAGAGCCAGGGAAGACAGCTGTAGAAGAGGCAAGCTGAGCTTTTAATGAAAAATATAAATTAAAGCAGTAATTTGCAGGCCATCTTCCAATGCTAATAACCATCTAAGCCTTAGGTTCCTTTAAAGGCCAGAACACGATTCTAGGTGATGGTAAACATTTATCTTGTATCCTTCAATATCAAATAAAAGGGCCTAAAAGCTGAGAAATGGAAAAGCAACTATTACAATCATCAGTTAATTGTACTTAGTTCATGTCGGAGCTAAGAGCCAATATTGAGTTGCTTAAGTGTATGCCAGGGACTGAGCTCCCTATATCACCTATTAATCTTCACAAGCACCCCACGAAGTTGGTATTATTTCCATTTTACAAATGAGGAAACTGAAGTAGAGGGGGTTGAATAAACTTGCCCAAGGTCACACAACTAGTAAGAGAAAGAGCTCAGATTTGAACTCCAAAGTCTGACAGAAAATCAAACTCTTAACCACTTAATATAGGGGGATGATTAGATAGATGTAGGTTCTAAACATGAATAGATGGTGGAGTACATTTTGGGAAGCCTTTCTTAGCAGCTGACAACTGCAGAAGTGAAGAGAACAGGCTACAATGAATGGAAAAAAAGCACAGAATGAAGGCTTTTAGACCAGATGGTATTTCTGATCTCTTAATAGGACAATAGAACCCAAGAAGCAACTTTCACTGTTCACAGCCTGGGGGGGACCTAAAAATTACCCTCAACAACCTCAAATGGTAGTATTTCCAGCCAGTTCTAAGTGATGGCGGTGGTGAACAACCTACCTCCGTTACAGTGGGATAGAGAAAGCAGATATGCAATATTGGAGCCTATGAAAGTACTGACCAGGAAATATAGCACTGGCCCAAGAAAAGCCTACAGAATAAGTGACCACTGTAGAAGCAGGCAAAGAATCAGAGTCAGGATTCAAAGGTCTCTAAAAGGTTATCTACTTGAAACTTCCCCTTGCCGCTAGTAAGGATCCTCCAGTAACATGACGGGCACGCCATCATACTGTTTCTGGCTTCTATGCCTTTGTTCTTGCTGTTTCCTCTGCCTGGAATGCCACGCACCATCCTTATTCCCTGGGTCACTCCCGTAAAGTCTTTTAATACCCTGCATAGGTTTCTCCTGGAAGCTGTACTAAAGTTATCTACTAAGCAATGAGCTCCTTGGAGGCAAAAGCCATGTCTTATTCATCTTTGTGTTGCAGATGCCTGGTACAGAGTGAAGTATGCAATAAATGCTTGCTGAATGAAGGAATGGAAAGGATATTCCTGCCAAGTTGACATCCATCCTTTGCATAAACACTCTTGTGGTTGGATAGCATAGAGTCCCTTAAATCTCACACCCCTAAACCCAGGACGGCAGAATGAATCAATTATGTGTAAAACCTATCAAGACTGGGCTCCAGAGAGTCAGAGGCGAAGCATTTTCCCAGTTATCCTCTGGGGCGGTCAGGATCCTGAGGTTGACATTTTTCTATTTCTAGTTCATTTTTCATAGTTCTCTTACCTCTGTCTGCAGAGTATGAGGAAGTCAGAGACAGGCATCTTCCTTCTAATGAGTCGCTCAGTTTATGGCTGGATTGGGTCAGGAAATACTTAGGAGGCATATTTATGTCAAGCAGCTGTGCCTCAGTAATAAAGTGAGCAAACTAGTGTCCTTAACACCTGCTAACACATACACACAGTATTATGGAGGAACCAAATCACACTGTAAGGACCTGTCTGGCCTTCTGTTTGAGTGTGTGTGTGCATACACACACAGACCAGCAAAACCATCCCAGTAAGACAGAGAGGGCTCATAAGGTTAGCAAGTTAAGGGTCATTCAATGCTCAGGGGTCTGTAAGAAAAAAAAGTAAGGGAAAAATTATCAAAGAAGATACAAATAAAACAACAAAAAGAAATAAAAAGTAAAAATAGAAAAAAAAGTAAAGAAAAAAGGGTCATTTAGGCAAGCTCCATTTGCAGACTATTTAAAGTCAGGAGGAACAACTAAATCAATAAATAGGTAGTTTATTAATCATATTAATAACAATGATGGGTCAAATAATCAAGGATTCAACCAGTCTGGTAAGTATGGATGAAAATGAACAGTCTTTTCTCCTCCCTCCCTCCCTCTCACAGGTTTTTATATCTAAATTATGTGAGTGATTCATACACAAACCCATTAAGAATCAGTATGGGAAATTTCAAGACCTTTGCTAGTGATGAAAGTGCAAGTTAAGCTCATTAAGCCTTAGTGGTTATTATGTCAGCTGACCACAGTAAGCAGAGAATGGATGAATTTTTACACCTAAAGTCAAAGTTCAAGAAAAAGAGCTAAGATTTCAACTTTTAAAAAGCAGTGAAGAAGAACAGCCAACACCCATATAAAAATAGATACACAGTCTGTATGCTCTGCCCCCACCTTTTCTTCTACTCCTCAATTTGAGAACCTGCCATGAAACACAGGTAGAAAGAACCGTAAGGGACACAAGGAAAAGGACACAAGGCCAGGGGGCCTCCTGAGTTCCCTGAAATCATGGACAAAGGGGAGTTAGGTGGAAATACAAGGACTGTCAGAATCTCTCAGCAAGGCTAACAAGAACTGTGATTTTTCAAAACATAGCAGGAGGGGAGGAGAGAAAACTCTCAGGAAACTGCAGATGATTCTGCCCAGGTCAGAACATCTACATTCTGAGGTGACCTGGAATCAAACCACTACACTTACCCAGAAAATGAGGCAACAGATTTTCTGCCCTCTCTAGGCCACCACTTGAGGCTGTATTCCAGACAAGAGTACACAGTTTTCAGGTTTTTGTTTTTGTTTTTAAGCAAGGTTTAATTAAACTGCACGGCATCCAGAAGAAAGAAATGTACCAAAGGATCCAACCTGAGACCAGATTATACATTTTAGAGGGAGAAAAAAAAAAATCAATGCTATTTGGAAAAAGGAGCACTGTAATCAGAATATAATTCCAAAATAAATCATACATGCCAGCAACTTCTGGGTAAAAAAGAAAAAAAAAATGGAAACGGCAAAATAAATCATACAATAAATTATTTTTTGAGAGAAATTGATCCACATGCAGACAGATGAACACACACATGCACACACACAGACACACGTGTCATTCTAGTCTTTTATTCAGTGTTGACTGTCACTTCCATGCTGGGCACCGTGGAAAACGACAAAGGTTAGACACGAGAAAAGAAGGCAAGGCCCCTCTGCCACCAGTGGAATGGGATTTAAGACAATTAGAGAAGGAACCCACTACGTTGTGAGAAACAAGAGTAGAAAGAAGAAAACAGCAGTTATCAAGGAAGATTTTAATTGCTTCAAAGGGGAGAAAAGAAAGCACAGAAAACTAACACAAGTAAAGGCACAATGAACGTGGAGTTGAATGGAACCAAACCTTTCCTTCGGTTAAACAGCTATCTTTTTTTTTTGCATGTGGTTTTGAAGGTGATTGTTTCGTTTTGTTTAGAAGAAACGAGTCTTGAAGGCAGAGTTGTAAGGACACTCTTCTCTCCCTTGCCATTCCTGAAATTAGGGTGGCTTAACAGAGGCCACCGTGACCACTTAACCAGGGACTGAGATTCAATAGGGAAAGAAAGACTACAACTGGAATGTGAAGGATCTGATCTGCAGTTGATCACAGGTTGGGTTTCCAGAAGGACAGACAGCTCAGTGCAGTGCCATCAAAGGGCCTCAGATGCCCTACACTCCACCCCCAGAGCTTCACAGAAGGGAAGAACCCTGGAGTCACATTTCTCCCCCAGTCCCATAAGCACTCAGCCTACAGATTATTTCAAGTGATCAGGAGAATTAAAACACACCCCAACCCTGAGTTGCTCTGTAGCAAGTCTATTTACAACTTTTTTCTCACCTCTCCCTGGAGGTAAATCGGGATTTCAAGTTGGGAAGCCGTGGGATGAGGGATTCCCCCAGTGCAATGGCCAGTGACTACTTTCCTTGTCTTTGCCAGCTGGGAGAGCTGGGATGAATTCCTGGAGACAGCAGCCTCACGTTCATCGAATGGGGTAGCCCTAGGCTCTCTCTGCTGGCCTAGGCTGTGAAAATGGTAGGGCATTGCAGCTGGAGCAAAGCCCCATGACAGAGAAAACCACACCTGGAATATCAAAGTGCTTTGGTCCAGGTTTGGTGACCAGAGAAGAAGGGGAAAAGGGGCACCTAGCTCATTTAAAAACCTGGAGGCCACTGCCCTGCTTCCCAGATAGGGCGGTAAGAAACAACTATTAAGTTTTTCCCACTAGGGAAAAACATCACAAAACCAAACCCACGCAAGGGCTTTTAATACAGCTTCCTGATGCTTAGTTGGGCAATGTCTCTTCCTTCCAGGAGGGGACAAGGGAGTTAATGGGACCGGGCAACAGTCTCAACATGAGACCACCCAATGTTCCACTGAAGAGACAACATTCCCACAAGCAGATAAAAAGAGCAGTTTAAAAAGGTGAGTAGTTTTAGTGCTCTTGTAGCCAGCCCACCTTAAACCTATATTACAAGCTTTTTACAACATACAAAATAGACCAGTAACTATGAGGATCACATTCCCATCTTCAATAGTAAATATACATGATAATATATCTAATATTAACAGTGGGACCAAATAATGTATAAGGCAAAGACATTTAAACAAGTGCTGTGTCATCAAAATGCTCTGAAGAAGAAAACCCATCTGACTAGATCTAGACCTGGGCCTATATTCATGAGGCCAAGACGACAAATATACAATCAGTATCCATGTGACACAGTCCAAATGCTGAGGGTATGAGGGGCAGCAGGTCATGGGGAGGAAGATATCAGCCCCAGTGAAAAGCTGGGGTTTGGCTTTCCTTGTGATATTTTGATGCTCTATGTATGAGTAAGGGGGGAAAAAAAAGACACACTTTGATAACATTGTACAAAAGGCATCACCTCCCATTTCAAAAATAAATGGGAAGACTTCACAGTCAAAGTTCAGTAACTTGTCAGCATCTACCCTGGAATTCTGCTGCAGCATCAACGCTTGTCCTCTCTCCTTTCCCCTCCACTAGCATCCCCTCTTTCAGCTCTACTCCAGGATGCTGGGGACACTTCTGGGAGATAACTGCTAACAGACTTGAAAAGAAGAATGATAAATAAAGCATGATTAGAAAAAGTTTGGTGACAGACCTAATCATAGTTTGTCCCAAGAGTCAATGTGGTCCAGGGGATGGCAAAGGATAGCAGACCCCATACAAATAACCCAAGTTGAGCCCTCCCTCATCTGGCACGGGGAGACCTGCGTTTCACCTGGCACCAGGTACAGATCCTTAGCCTGTGATCCAATAGATTGGAAAGGTCCCTCAGGTAGTTTAAGCCTGTGTGACGTGTCTGGTGAAAATTTTAAACTAATTTTCCCTATTCATTTTAAAAAATAGCCATTGGTCTCCCTCTTCTCATGCCAGGCTTTGTACAGCCTCTACGCATGACAACAGCTGTAGCCAAAGCAAAGCATCTGGTATGTGGAGCCCAGGAGCTCCATCCTGCTGCTGGTCCCTGTCTTCTCATCCACTTTCAGTTCCTACCTAGATTAGGAACCTCCATTTTCTCTGTGCTCTTTAACTAGGACCTGGAAGACGAAGAAACAACGTATTGCTGGCTGCCAAGGAAGATCTACTGGACTGAGGCACACCTCACCAACATCTTTGTGCTTCTTGGCATAGAGGAATCTCTGAATGTCCCCATAAGCTTCAACTTACTTCCTCAGCCTTCTCTACTCTTCTGTGTTAACCCCTGCAGTCTTGGGAAGGCAAGAGTGGTGGAGAAAGGAAGAGTCTGCTCAGTCAGATGGGCTGTGAACTTCAGTATGAACAGGCTCTAAAGTCCTTTGTAGCCCACAGAGCCCTTCCATGAGGTGCTTCACCCTTCCCTTCTTTGCCATCCTGGAGCACCCTCCAGGGGCTAAAGGACTGAAAGAACCACTGACCACTCAGGGCCAGTCAGAAAAGACTGAGGCAGACTCAAGTTTGCGGTTAAGGCCAAGGCCCAGGCCCTGTCTTCCTCTCTCCCACCAGAGGTTTCTGGGGCTGGTGAGTCAGGAATGAATGAAACCCCCACAAGTGACTTTTCTCTTGAAAAGTCATGAGGAGGTGGGGGATGGGGGGGAGGAAAAATCCCTCAGCCTAGCACCCTGAGGAAATGGGGCAGGGAGTCCCAAGGGACTCAAATGGCTCCTAGTCCCTTTGCTGCAGAGGAACTGACTAGCTCTAAAATCACTTAGTTTATTTCACCCTCTCTTTTTATTAAATGTTTAGTTCAACTGATTAGTTTTTAGTGTTTATGTCCAACTTATTCCTGGGCTGGGGGATAGGGTAAGAACAAAACCAAAATGCCCCTAAAAATAAAGCAGACCCATTTCCTTGCCCTTTCTCCAAACCTGACCTTTAAAACAGATCACTTCTCTGCAAACTCCTTTCCTGCTTCACTAAAAATGCTCCCCTGCCACCCAGAAGTCCTGGCCATGCCGGCTTGCTAAATGATGAAATATAATATACCCGCCAGGCTTCCCCCACAGTGGGGAGGAGGAGGAAGGAGTATCATTCTGCCCTGCCCCAGCAATAAGTTAATTCATCACAACAAGGCACCTTTCCCCAAGAGGAAAGCAGGAGATACAGAAGCTTTTTCCTCATCTGGCTAGCAGGGCTTGCTAGAGGAAGGATGGATGCAGGGTTTGAGACCCTATATCAGTATCAAGAGTCCGATCACCAAGTCCAGAGACGAGATGCATAGATGGAGGTGAGCTGGGAGGACGCTTGGAGTCTAGGGTTGGTTGCACTGGAGAAACATGTTAGGAGCTCTCATGCAGGTTTCCGGGGAATGGAAGGGACCATCTGAGAAGAAGAGGAGGTCCATCCTTTTCCTGAGGAACAGGACCAAGCCAGGCTTCACCTGAGAATGGGTGGCAGAGGTGGGGCTCCACGGGCAGCTGAAAAAAACAAAATAAAAACCAAACACATACAGGTCATCCACCAGACTCTGAAGAACCTAAACACTCCTAAAATAAGAGAAAGGCTCTTTATGCTAACCTTTAAAATCTAGGGACTACATTTTGTTGTTGTTTTGGTTTTTTAAGAAAATGAAGATGAGGAGAAGTAAATTTTAACCAATGAAAACAAACAAATCATACATTCTATGCAATTATGGAAAAACTTTCTTTACTACTATTCTCACCTCGGTTTGTTTTGCTGGGATATATTCTCTGAAAGTGTTTATATTCTTCTGGAGCAGGAAAGTCTTCTACTGGATGGAAGGAATACTTTGACTCAAAATCATCTGCAAAAAAACCAGAATATTAATTCATATCACCTTTGCTTGTGCTACCACAGACCTCTGGGCACTTACGATCCTCGCCCCTTACTAATCTCTCGTTCATTCTGATGTGCTGCGAGGGCCGGCCTCACCCACTAAACCAAGGTTCCTGAGAACAGCAGTAGCATCACTCTATGTGCACTGCATACACAGAGGGTGTGTTCTAAGGCTCTCAATATTAAGGGGTGAGTCTTTGAGCTGATTTCTTTAAATCTTTCCACTAAAAATCAGGCATATAACAGGAAAGGAGCCCAGCTGTTTGCATGGAAGCAGAAAGAAATATGGTTCTGTGCTTCAATAACATGGTCATTTTAGGGACTAGTCACCATGTGAAACCAACTGAACTGAATACACAAACTGGTAGAAATTCATTTAAAATGGGAATATTTAGGTCCAGCTAGTAGGAGATTTGAACAGATAATTTCCTTTCAGCCCAGGTTTTTCTCCTTTAGCTATGCAACATAGTAGGGATAGCCATCTCCTGGCTCCCACTCCTACTTTCTATGGCCTCTCCACAAGAAGGTTCAAATTTTCTACAGGTGTGGTTTGATCATGGTCCAAAGGTTTCTACAATAAGGATGTATCTTTAAAGCAAAAACCTTGGTCTAATAGGAACAGCAGGGAATGTGGAGGACAGGGGACAGGGGAGGAGAGCAACTATTAAAGAATCCAGTGTTAGGGCCGGGCGCGGTGGCTCACACCTGTAATCCTAGCACTCTGGGAGGCCGAGGCAGGCGGATTGTTTGAGCTCAGGAGTTCGAAACCAGCCTGAGCAAGAGCGAGACCCCATCTCTACTAAAAATAGAAAGAAATTAATCAGACAACTAAAAATATATAGAAAAAATTAGCCGGGCATGGTGGCACATGCCTGTAGTCCCGGCTACTTGGGAGGCTGAAGCAGAAGGATCCCTTGAGCCCAGGAGTTTGAGGTTGCTGTGAGCTAGGATGACGCCACGGCACTCTAGCCCAAGCAACACAGTGAGACTCTGTCTCAAAAAAAAAAAAAAAAAAAGAATCCAGAGTGTTAGGACTACCAGGGACCTTACAGATCTTTTCCAGGGGTCCTCAACAGAGTGTCTAACAATGTCCTCTGGATAACCCTTACTTAGGGTTCCATCTCAGAACTAATGAATTAGAATCTGCTAGGTAGGAGCCCCAACATTTATAACCTTGGAAAAGTTAATCTGGTATGTTCCTGATCTAGTCAACCTCCTCATTTTACAGATAGGGGAAGTGAGGCTCCAAAAGTGAAGTGACTTTCTCAAAATAAGGCAGCTAGTTAGTGGCTTTTGATTACCAGATAAATGTTGTATAGTGTTTTGTTTTTACAGAGCCAGAAAGGAACTCTCCTTCCTAGGAAGATACATAATTCCTCTCTGAACAATCCTAAAAAGCATACGGAGCTAAACACAATGATCCTGAGGGGCACAAGAGTGGCTTTAGAGCTAGCACGACACTTGCTGATGTTACTTCAATCTATTCCAAAGCAACCAACAGAGATGCTGGAGACCCGAGTGCAAAGTCAGGAGGGGAACTGCTGTGAAGAAAGGATAGCATGTGGCATTCCCACTCTACCCTGGCCATCTGGCAGCCAAGGCACTGGAGTTAGTGAAGTCACCACAGGAACTATGGGACTAAAACAACTAGCTACTCACCCAAGAAAGATCGGACAGTGGTGATAGAATCTCTGTGGCCATTCCTCAGGGGTGGTGGTGGAGGAGGGGGTGGCCCCGCTGGTGTCCTTGAGGGTGGAGGTGGGGGCTTTCCTCGGCTTAGGGGTTCTGACCCATGCATTCGGTATGGTGGGGGTGGCGGTGGAGCATCCCTGGCACCATTTCGGATCATGGGTGGTGGAGGTGGAGGAGCTGCAATCAAAATCCAAAGTAGTTAGGCCTGGATGTGGAGATGACAAGCGGGTAGAGGGATCTGAGAGACATGAGCTAAAAGACTACCTCGGTGTGTTCCCGAATAACCAGGCACTGTGAGCCTCTGGGTGGCATTTAAAATACCATATTCACCTTCCCCCAATGCTTATTTCTTTTTTCTTTTTTTTTTTTTGAGACAGAATCTCGCTTTGCTGCCCGGGCTAGAGTGAGTGCCGTGGCGTCAGCCTAGCTCACAGCAACCTCAAACTCCTGGACTCGAGCAATCCTTCTGCCTCAGCCTCCCAAGTAGCTGGGACTACAGGCATGTGCCACCATGCCCGGCTAATTTTTTCTATATATTTTTAGTTTTTAGTTGTCCAAATCATTTCTTTCTATTTTTTAGTAGAGACGGGGTCTCGCTCTTGCTCAGGCTGGTCTCGAACTCCTGACCTCAAACAATCCACCCGCCTCGGCCTCCCAGAGTGCTAGGATTACAGGCGTGAGCCACCACGCCTGGCCCCAATGCTTATTTCTTGAACATCACCACCAATCTTCCAGATACCAAGGTTCAAAGTAAATGTATGACCTTTTTTCATTTCTCACAAGTCAGTCAAGAACACTATCTACTCTTGATGATTTTTTCCCTGATTTCTCATGCCTTCCTCCACAATTCTAATTCAGGTCTTTCTCATATTTAGCCCGTTCTGCTGCAAAAGCCTTCCAAATGTTCTCCTTGCTTCCAATTCATTTTGCATACCACCAACTCACTAAGCTCCCTAAAACACTTGTTCAAATTTTTTCAAGGGCTTTGCATTTCCTACATTATAAAGTCTCAAATCCTTTGCTTACATGATTAACCTACCACGTCAATCAGCCTGATCTCACCTTTTCCTCTCTCTTTCTGAATTCCTGGGCAGGGTTAGGCATCCCTCTTCTGCACTTCCACTGCAGTCTGAGCATATCTGCCACTCTACTATATTGTGCCATAATTGTTCGTTATATGTGCTTCTGCTCCAGTATACTATACACTTCTTAATGTCAGAGCAGTTCCTTCATCTGGGTTCCCAAGCTCGGCCAAATGTACAGCACATGGTAGGTACTTAATCAATGTTTGCTGGATAAACCGAATTACAAATGCTTTTTTTTTTGAGACAGGGTCTCACTCTGTCACCCAGGCTAGAGTGCAGTGGCATCATCATAGCTCACTGCAACCTCAAACTCCTGGGCTCAAGCGATCCTCCTGCCTCAGCCTCCCAAGTAGCTGGTACTATACATGAGAGCCACCACATCCAAGCTAATTTTTCTATTTTTTTGTAGAGATGGAGGTCTCACTCTTGCTCAGGCTAGTTCTCAAACTCCTGGCTCAAGTAATCCTCCGGCCTCAGCCTCCCAAAGTACTAGGATTACAGGCATGAGCCACTGTGCCCCACCCATATGCTTTGTTCTTATGACTCCCCGCCCCCTGGCCCCCCGTGCGATACTCTAATATCCCTCTTCCCTGACTACCAAATCATACCTGTCCTTCAAGATTCAAATTCAAGTCCCATGTTCTAAAGACTTTCCCAAAGCAATCCACTCTATTCTGAGTCCCTTCTTCTTTGCTCTCCCTCAACATATACAAGTTATGTCACTTATTCTATTATAGCACTTAACAGTACAGATTAAAATGAGTGATTTTCAAAACACATATAGTAGCAGATCCATCTAAGTTCTCGAGAAGTTACGTATCTCCAGTCACAGTCTCAAAAAATTTCAAAAGGCCGGGCACAGTGGCTCACGCCTGTAATCCTAGCTCTCTGGGAGGCTGAGGCAGGTGGATTGTTTGAGCTCAGGAGTTCGAAA